GAAACGCTGAATGTCTTTTCCTGTTTTAGGAATAGGCCACTCATCAAAGTTGACCAACTTGCGAGGATCAGGGCGACGACCATTAGCATCAATGCAAAATCCAAGCAAGTAAATGGACTTTTGAGCAAAATGACACTTGTCGGCGTTCAAGATAAGATTAACATCGGTGAGGCGTTGAATAACAGTGATGACATGTTCACGGTGCTCAGCCATGGATTTGGAAAAGATAACCACATCATCAACAAAAGTAGCAACAAAAGGTAAATCATCAAGAAGAGTGTGCATGCATTTCTGAAAGACCGCGCTGATATGCTTAAGACCAAAGGGGCATGCTTGGAAGCAATAAGGTCTATTGCGAAAGGTAAATGTGGTTTTGTGTTGATCAGGCTCATGGATCTTGAAGCGATGAAATGCACTCTTGAGATCAAGCGTGGTGAAAACAGTGGCACCGGTAAGTGCGTGAAAGATTTGCTCGATGTGAGGTAAGGGATAACGATGTTCAGGTAAGAGGTTGTTGATATGTCGCGGATCAAGACAAGGGCGAAAATTGGTAGGATTACCCTGTGCGTCTTTTTTAGGAGCGACCGTCAAAGGACTATTCCATCCGTTACGAGGTGGTGCAGGAATGATAACACCGTCAGCAAGCCATTTTTGGATTTGCTCCTCAAGGACAGGTAAAAGATGTTCAGCAAGTGGATACTGAGGACGATAAACAGGTGGTGCAGCACCAGTGTTAAGGTAAACCACGGACTCAGGCATGGTGCAAAAAGAAGTAACAGGTATTTGTGCATTTTTTCTAAGAGCGGGTTGAATGGCGTGAAGAAGCTCATTGTGCTCAATAGTGGTGCCAGCGGGAGAATCGTTGGGCTTATCCATCTCGATGTTTGAATCAAGAGCAAAAGGTGGTGAAGGACGTTCCCATGACGTAGCAAGTCCTTGAATAGAAATCCCAAGTTTAGACATGAGATCAGTGCCAATGGATACATCAGCGTCAGCGTTAATAGGAAAAACTTCAAAAGCATGAATAAAAGGTTTGCCATCGTAAGTACATTTTATTTGAGGGGTTGTGCCAGTGCGGGGAACAGAGACCCCAGATGCAGCCAAGTCAATATGACCTGAAGATGGGATGATGGGTACTGATAATTTGGTTGATAAAGAAGGAGTGATGGAAGAAAGGGTGGCACCAGTATCGACAATGGCCCAGACCTTGTGCTCCTGTATAATGATTGGCACGTAGATGGTGTGAGTAAGATCTGTAGAAGATGCTGTAGCATGGGATGCCATGCGAATAAACTTACATTGGGTGCACGGATGTTCCGCGTCCTGCATATCAACGTCATTGTTGATGTCGTCATTTAAATCAATCAAGTTTTGCTCGGATGTATGATCCAAGGCAATATTGGAAACGTGGTGGTCTCCAGAGAAATGAGCTGAGCGAATAGCCAACTTGCACTTGCAAACATGACCTGGGAGCCATGACTCGTTGCACTTGAAGCAACGCTTTTGCTCGTGCGACTTGGTAGAGTTGTCGCGCTTCGAAACCTTGTTTCCTAGTTCCCGAGCTAAAGTTCTACATTCACTTGTAGTATGGTTGCCTTTCTTGTGCAAGTTGCAAAACTTCTTGGCCTCAGGCTTCTTGTTCTTGTCATGAATGTTGTTGGCCGTCTTGCTGTTGTTGGTTGCATGGTACTTCTTGGTGGCGCCAATAACGGTTGCATATAGGCCACGTGCAACGTTGGCAGCTTGTTCAGTAGTGGACCTCAACTCAACTGGCAAATTGACTTGGGCTAGGCGTACTTGCTTGTAGAGGTCAGGCACCAAAGATTTCGTGTATACAGCTGCAATTGCCAAGTTGTCCTCCAAGCCAGCTTCACGACGAGTCTTGTTAAAGCGGTCCGTGTAATATTCCACCGATTCGTCATTCTTCATTGACATGTCCAACAAATCAAACATGGCTTGAGATTGTCTTTCACCATCATGGATACCATACTTCTTGATAAGGGTCTTGCGTGCGAATGTCCATGGAAGATGAGTATAGGGGCGAAGGTTATCATCATACCAAGAGCGTTGCTCTGGTGACAACATGCGTGGCAACAATCTACCCCATGCTTCATCCAAATCTTGATTGTAGGAAACAATGACATCCTCAAAGCGGTTCAAGCATTCTTCCACTGATCCAAAGATAAGTTTCGTCTTGTCATGCACGTTTCCAGTCCATTGCAACATTGGAAGGTCTTGGGGTACAACAGGGCGGCTGGAGTGGTTACTCTTGTCCTTCTTGGTCATCTTTCGATAGATACCCTTAAGAGCTTCAAGATCCTTGCTTGCTTGTTGAGATTCCTGGTGCAAAGCTTGACGTTCCTCTGGCGTAATGTCATCCAATGACAAGCGTTCGGCCAAGTTAGCCAAACTTGCTACAACCCTGTCGATGGCATCAGTGGCACGCTGCAGGCTTGATGATGAGTTGCTTGAAGGCACAGATACAACAGAGTGCGTGTCCGTGGGTGAGGATATGGGAGAGCCAAGGTTCATTGGTGATTGATCAGAAGATCCTTGAGAGTGTTGGCTGGGTGATGTAGACATGATGATGATAAAGAGGATAAAAGAGAATTCGTCAAAAAAAATGTAATATCACTTATGAGAATAGAGAAACGATAAATGACGAGACTCAATAAGAGATTGATCCTTTATTCAAGTGGTGGTTGTTGAGCGTATTTATAGCTTTAAGGATGATGGTGGTTGAAGAGGGTGTGTGCGTGTGTGCTTCCTAATGGAGTATACCGAGAAGGTGTGTGTGATACAACCATGCAACGGGTGCTACAGTGATGAAGCGTGTACGTATATAGCAATAGGTGACCAATGTGGATAAGGTTGGTGATGACAAGGTAAACCTTCATTCGGGTGATAGGGGAATTCCATCGTATGATAGAGAAAGCAGGTTGACAAACGTGAGAATGTGTGCCAGGATACAACA